TGTTGAATGCAATTTAGTGTCACACCCATTGAGTCTAAACTATGGACTAGAGACATCTGGATACTTGGAAATCCTATGGTCATGGTAATAATTTGAGGGGAAATAAAAAGGGGTTTTGGCTCTAGGCACTCATGTGACCATCAGTCCTTTCTGTAGACTGGTCCTGACCTGTAATCTCCTGGGTGGTAAGCCTAGTGTACTGAAATCTGGAAGTAGATGCTGGAGGGAGTGTGGTATTCGGAGCTGCCTCACGCTGCCCAGGCTGGGGTATGATGCAGCCCCGCTGCTTGTAGTTTAATATGGTGTGCAGTCCAACTGCGGAACAAAGCTGAGCGTGACACTGCATCAGCTGGGCCCACGGTGGATGGTTAGTTCAGGATATTTGGTGCAGCATCTTGTCTGATTGGCTCACATCCTTTGCAGTTCCCCCAGCTAGGTAGCCTGACTGCTGGGGCTGAGAATCTAGGAAAGCACCCAAGATTCCCACCCATGCCCCACTCTGGGTTGGGTCTTCAAACTGTCACTTCTTATTTCTGTTCTGTAGCCTCATCCTACCCCTGCTTAGCTCCTTGGAATTATCATCTCAGGGTATCTGCTCAGTTTTGGTTTTGTCCCTATTCATTGCCTCTCCTTGTCACCCTTGGCTCCACAGGACCAATTTCTTTCTTGCCCTTGTACCCAAGACCCCAGTTAGGCTCCCACTTGTTTGGGAGGGTGGGAGGTTTAGACTCAGCTGACGGACCAAGAGCACAGACAAGCACTAGGGAGGCATCATTTTCTCTATCCCTGGCTAAGCCCGGTGACCCAGATGAGTCCCCTTATTACATGAACGGTTGGTAATCTAAAATAATGGGTTCTGTTCCCAAAACAGGTAAGGATGTGTGTGTATGTGTGTGTTTCTAGTCATTAAGGTAAACATAGGAATGTTATACTTAGATGGCATGAACGTGAAATGGAGTACTTCTCACATGGCACAAATGACTCAACGGAAGCCTTGCGTCTTTTTTTATGGGAAAAGGGTTCAGTGAGAGCAAGTAATAGTGTTTGGTTAATGTCAGCTCAGCATTAAATTTACATCATACTCTCCGAAGAAGCTTCAGCATTACCTGTTAATAACCAAGGCGGAACCTGGGCTTAGACAGACTTTCTGATTTTGCACATGAACTACCACTGCAGCCTGCAGAGGGGGAATCATGAGCTTGGAAATTTGGTGTACCAAAGGATTCTTTGTATGGATAAAAATTCTGGTCAGTGAAGGTCAGTTTCTCCACTCAAACGAGAACAATGTTGTTTCCCTCCTAATCAGACACACACCGCGTTCAAAGAATCCAGGATCCCCACCTAAGTGATGTGCAGCCATAGCCTGGGCAGCTCCTCATGCAGGAAACGCATCATCTTTAATAAAGACTCAGACAACCCGGCTTCCATCTGAACTGTAATCAGTTGCCTTAATGGTGTGCCCGTCAGTGCTGTGCAGGGAAAATTCTATAAAGTTAAGTTACCTTCTTTATCCTGTTTCAAGGAGGGCTGAATTGGTCCAGTCAGTCCTCCCCCATGTTGTATTTGATTCTGCCGTAAAGACCACTGGAGTCAGCCTCAGTTTTGTTGAAAGGCCAGCATTTCCTTTCTCTTTCAGGGTTATCCATGCCTCTTAGGGGCACTGGACTTGAAACAGCAGGAGTCACCATCTTTATTGTTAGGCTGCAGAATTTGTTTTAAGCACATTCTAAATCCAGTCTTATGCCTTACGGGTTTTTTTTAGTCTGTGACAAAGGTGACCCAATTGTGCTGCTTTGATATTATGAACACAGCTCTTTTTGCTCATATCACAGAAGCATATAACAAAATACAAAAGGATAAAATTGTGTCTGCATGTGTAGTAAGGACACATACTTCATGACTAAATTTGGTGACATAATGTCATAATCAAAAAAGTGTTGTCCTCTCGCAGTCATGAGCTAACCGACAGAGACCACCTGTCAGGGTGTTTTTATAATGCTGAGATACTGTTCAAAAATAATAGAACTAATGAAAATGTCACATTGACAGAGTAGCCCATATTAAGATTGTACTTCAAGAGGCATGATTTGGTGAATGTGACATTGACAGCAATGGTGTGAGAATTTACAGAGTTAGTAAAATGTTCTAAGAAGAATATTACAGCGTTCCCATTGAAGTGTGTCATTTTTCATTTTATTTTTCTTTTCTGGAATTAAATGAACTCCAGGAATTAAGGAAAGTTAACCTACTGTCTGCCTAGCAAGAGGTATAGGGAGCTTTTCTTTACATCACATCCTAATGTAATTTTGTAATTGTGCTTCCAAAGAAATACCTTAAGTTAACAATAAATGCATGTTCCTTAGGGCATCTGAAAAATATTCAAGTAGTAAAATTGCACAACAGATGTATTTCTCAGTAAACAAAAGTGCCATGTTTAAGTGATTAAAAATGTGCAAAACAGTAAAAATGGAGAATAAAGTGGAAAAGCAAAGTAGTTATAAACAGAATAGTGGTAGCATCACTGAAGACTTTATTTAGCTCTCTGGGTTGGTTGAACAAATATTCCAGCAAATCTGGAATGAATAGCAACTCTGTTTACTATGACAGGTTTTATTTGTCTTGGGTGCAACCAAGACCACATGCTGTGTTTTGTCATGTTGGAAATACTGAAGCAGATTTCCATTGTGAATGTGAATTTTTCTAAAGCCTTAACACCTCAGTCTCAACTCAGCGAGGTAAAAGCAATAAGTTTTCCTTTACTTGCCAGCTAGACATCAATAAATCTTAAATCCCTCCATCAAAAGCATATAGGTGCAGTTTACCATCCTAGTTGTAGGCTTTGGTCACTGCCATAGATGGCCTGTGCCTTCTCATTTCCAGAGGTTCTATTTCTGTCCTTAATAAAGTTTATTTTTTATTTTCTTTCTCTTTCATATATAGTACAACTTCTTTAATTCCACATCCTTGGAGCATGTGTCACTGTTGGCATAGAGCCTTCCGTATCTAATGATGCAGAATCTCTACCTCGCATGGACATGGCTTAACCTCCCCCCGCCCCCACCCATTTATACCCTGTGTAGACAAAGTGTGTCCAACCACATTCACCTATTGGAGTTGTTGGTTCTGCTGAATTTATAGAAAATATATCAACCAAGGATTAACATTCACTTGAGAGTAGCAGAGAATATTGTAAAATTGCAGAATTCTCATAACAGTCTTTTCTTATTTATTATCAGGATCATTTAGATAGCAGGGAGATCAAGATGCAAGTGGCAGAGTGAGGGCTTGAGAAGGAAGGGAAGATCATTGCTTTCTTGGCTGGGTCCGATCTTCTTGTCCTGGGGTCTTTATTCTAGTTTGATAGTGGTTAGTGGTGCTCCTTAAAGTCTTATCAGTTTGTTTGAAATGCATTTAAGCCTCATCTTAGACTGAGGAGCCTGGTTTCCAGTGAAGTTTAGCACTTAATGAATATAGCTATGCTCTGTGGAGCAGAGGAAGGCAGAATTTGAGATCGTGGTGAAGAAATTAGAACCAGCTGCAGTGCTCTGGCCAAAAATCTGTGGACACCCGGAAGAGCACTACACTTTAGTTGTAACATGAGACAGGCCAAGCAGTGACTGCTCTGTACACGAGAGTCTGATCAGAGTTAGTGGTGAGATTGAAGAAGGCAAGAAAAGCTCACTTCAGCACTTGTAGCATTCAAACGGATATGTAAACACTTACTGTGTGCCAGGTTAATTCTGGGTGACTGGAGATAGAGGGTAAACAAATACCTGTTCTCATAGTGCTTATGTTGTAGTAGATAGTAATTTTAGATAGTAAAGGGCAAAAGACAACTATAGCAAGGTGTGAGGACAGAGAATGATGGGCTGGCCAGCACTGATAAGGTATTCACCGAGGCCTCTCCAAGAGGTGATAAAAGGCCCAGGGCAAATGAGGAGAAGCTGCCTCAGAGTTTTTCATGCAGAGGGAAAGCAAGTATGAAGATTCTGAGGAAGAGATGATCTTTTGGGTATTCAAGAATCAGAAAGAGATATTTTGCAGTTACAACTTGCAAAGGGAGGCAAAAAGGATAGGTGAAGTTGGAGAGCTCGAGTAAAGTGAGGTAAACAAAGTGATCCCAAGAATGGGTTTTTCTTGGGAATACTGATAAATGACAAATCCACCAGTGCACATGTGTTTTAAAAGTGAAATTATAATATTCATAGTTTTAAGGACGAAACTAGGAGCTCAGTCAAATAACCAGGAATACCTGGAGTGTCTCATGTTGAGCAAAGTAGCAGGATGAGGGAGCTCGCAGCCTGGTGTTTGGCATGCTACTATTACTAAGCTGTTCTTATTGGAATATCTCCAGCAGAAACACTACTGCATTTGTATGTGAGGTTTTCAAAAGTTAGGACAATCTCCTTTTAAACTACTTCCTAAGGAGTTGAGTAGATACTGTGTTCCTGCCAAGTTATCTCAGCCTGATTCTCTCCTGTAGTTCCCCTAAGTACAGCGTTGTGTCCCCCCCATCTCTTGCATCAGAGGAGCACAGACCTGGTAAGAGATAGCTCGAAACTTCAGTGTGAGACTTGTGCTGCTTATCATTTTCTTTACCATGGCAGTGGCTGGCAGTGGAATGCCAGTAAGTTCAGCTGTCCTGATAAATAAAAACCATCTCAGGGATCACTGGGATGCTGGTAAAATCTGCAGGTGAAATTTAATTTTGTATCCAAATTAACAGACCCATGCAGTTTACTTATAGAAACAATAATTAGGCACACATCTAATCCAACAATATGGATTTGATTTTATTTTCCCATTCTGTGTTTGGGATACAATGAATGTTGAAACATCATAGAGACTTGCCAACTTCTGGGTCTTTCTGACACTCCTAGACTAGAAGAAACAATTCTGAGGCCTTCAAATTCCATCATAAGCTTGCAACTTACTGTTCATATTGTAAGGAGCAGTGCCCGGGCACATAAGTTTATTGGTTTATTTTTTTCTTTTGGCAGAATCAAGATGCTCTGGTTTCAAAGAAATAGCATGCAACTTGCCAAATCCTCCTTTGGACTCTTCTTGAGAAATCTCTCTGCCTCTAAGACAACTCTGCCCGTGCTGACCTTATTCACAAAGGTACAGAGTGAAAAAGTAAAATGACTACTTTAAAAATATAAAGTATTAAAGTTGTTGGGTGAAGAAAGTTGTGCATTTAAGAAAAGGAGGCAAAGTTGAAAGGAAAGGCAATGGAGTAAACCTTCATACCCACTCCTCAGTTTTTCTGTCAGCAAAACAGCAGTAGCTCTGCTCCTGCCAGGACAGTTCATTGTCTCATAATTATCAGAGAATAAATGAGTGTGTTTAATGGATGTCTGACTCTCACATTGAAGAAACATGGGCCATAGGTTATAATATGATGTTTACACATGTATCATTTATAAACACAGTCAGTTCTCAGTCTTTGTGATAGTTATGTTCTGTAAAGTCACTGGGAACACTGAAGTAAC